GTGCTCAGCAATAACATTTCCAAGAGGTGGATAACAGCATTTTAGTTCAGCTCTAATAATTCTGTTAAATCAGAGCTGGGCTTGTAATTGCTGTTTGTGGCTGAGGTTGTTCCATATGTGTATTATGCAGGATGTTATTGTGATGAAATGTTCCCTCTGGATGCCCTCAAGAATTTGCCTTTGTTGTGGGCAGGCCTTTCCTGAGCTCTCTGCCTTTGCTGTGCCCTCACAACCAAGGGAGAGGGGGAAAGAAGGCAAATTTCACCTTGTTTCTGTTTTTGCTGGGAGTTTTAAGTTGTGTAAGTGCCCATCTTGCTTTGCTTTAGGAACACAAAGCTTTGCTTGAGTCCTGCTCATGCCTTTGAAAGGCAAAGCCTGGCAGTGTGTGTTGAGTCCAAGGGCTTACAGGAATTACAGCACATGGATCCCAGAGTGAGCCAGAACAGGGAGCAAAAGTGCAGGAAAAGCCTCTTGCAGCGAGGCTCTCGTGGCGCTCTGAAGCAGTGCTTTAAATCTGATCCCAGCCATGAGGAACTGACCTTAGAGGTGCAGAAGCTCTCCAGGAATCCCGTGCTAACACACAGCACACGTGGTTCCAGGAGCTCAGGCAGCTGCGGGGAGGGTTGGTTTTGGGAGCAGGGAATGTTGAGATGCTCCAGGAGCGCCAGCTTGGGCTTGGAGCAGGGTGTGCCATTCCCAGACCCCCAAACCCTGCAGGCAGTGACCCCTTGGCAAACAGGGACATGGAAGGGACAGAACTGCTACACTGACCTGCAGGGGAGTGACACTGCTTGGGGATGAGCAGATGGAGCAGCCCTGGGAGAAGGACCTGGGGGTGCTGGTGGGGGACAGGCTGGACATGGCCCAGCCCAGAACCCCCCGTGCCCTGGGCTGATCCCACAGCATGGGCAGAGGGCAGGGAGGGATTCTGCCCCTCTGCCCCTCAGGTGAGACCCCCCTGCAGAGCTGCTCCAGCCCTGGGAACAGCACAGGGAGGACATGGAACTGCTGGAGAGAGTCCAGAGGAGGCACCAAGAGGATCAGAGGGATGGAGCAGCTCTGCTGGGAGGAAAGGATGGGAGAGTTGGGATTGTTCAGCCTGGAGAAGAGAAGCTTTGGGGTGACCTAAGTGTGGCCTTTCAGTGGGACCTACAGGAAAAATGGAGAGAAACTATTTCCAAGGGCCTGGAGTGACAGGACAAGAGGGAATGGCTTCAAACTGACAGAGGGCAGGGTTAGATGGGATACTGGGAAGAAATTCTTGGCTGTGAGGGTGGGGAGGCCCTGGCACAGGTTGCCCAGAGAAGCTGTGGCTGCCCCATCCCTGGAAGTGTCCCAGGCCAGGTTGGAAGGGGCTTGGAGCAACCTGGGCTGGTGGAAGGTGTCCCTGCCCATGGTGTGGGGGTGGGGCTGGGTGGTCTTTAAGGTCCCTTCCAACCCAAACCATTCTGTGATTCTATGAAAAATCCCCAAAGTCTGAAATAAAATGAATATCACTCCATGTACATGTTTTTCAAGGAATTGGGCAGTTTTTAGCTCTCTCACCATAGGGCTGAAGGTGACACTGAGCTTCAGCCTATGAGGGAACATCTTGGATAAGTTCCAGGGGCTCCTTCCCATCCCATGAGCCAGACACCTCCCTCAGCTCAGCTCAGCTTGTGGCTGAACCCTGTTTTTGGCAGAGCCCATCCCTCCCCACCAGCTCCAGAAGGACTCCCAGCATCTTGGTGAGGGCACAGGGGTGGGGACAGAAAGGAGGACAACAGCACAGAGAACAAACTGGGGATGTTTTTGGTCAGCCTGTGCTCCCACTGCTCTGCCTGAGCTTCTGCAGCTCTGCTGGGGCTGCTGGACATGGGAATCTGGGGAAGGTCCAGGAGAGCTTCACTTCCAAGGAAAACCCCCCAGGCAAGAAGGGATTGTGGCAAAGCCTGTTTGAACAACAACACCCGGGTTTGACCCACCCACAGCCCCCGAGGCACCTCTGAAATCCAGCATTTTGCGAAGGCCAGAGAAACCAGCACAAGTGAGCAGGAAGAAAAAAACACAGAAAGCAAAAGTAGCATCCTGTAATTTCTCCCTAAAACAGGAAAAGTCCTGCTCCTTGAAGTCTGCAAATTCAAGTTTCTCCTGGGAAAACCTCCCTCCTGTTCAAATGCTAATGGCTTGTTATCACAGGGTTGTTTTAATTTAACTACAATGTTCTATAAGCAGGGGAAGAGCAAGGTTCAGAGAGCAAATGGCTGATGAACAATCTTCAATCTGCCAGTAAATGTTTGCTTTTTTTAATATACTTCGCCTTCTTGATCTCTGTTTTAAACAGCTTCTCCAAAGGGACATATAAAAGACAGCTGATTTCAGCTGGAGGTAAAAGCACTTATTTGTGTGGTTCTTTGATCCTTGTTTAAAATAGGGAAATTATGGCACTTCTGTAGTACCAGTTGCCAGAGTGTCTGGTCCTGAGAGCACAGAAATTGTTGGTATATGAACAAAAATTGGCTTACTGGAAAGAAAAAATGCAGCACATTTTAGAAAATGATAGAGAAAATTAAATCAAATTGGGCATTGCAGCCCAAACCATCTCTGCTTCCCAGGAGCAGGAAAACCATCTCATGGAGCACAGATAAATTCCAGGGACTCAGAGGCAAAGGTCTGCCACCCTTTTCCAGGAATGCAGCAGCCAGAGCTTGCAAGAGCAAGGGAGGAAAAAGAGAGAAAGAGCCCCTGATCTTTCTCATGGAATTAGAAAATCCTTGTTTCCTTTTTTCTTCCCAGCCAATTCCTGGGTGGACGCCTACAAATGTGAAGGGTTTTGCTACCACTTTGCAACTGTAAGAATAAAACTGTCCTCTGTTAACCCCCCAAACCTAGAGAAACACTTTCTGTGTGTTTTGAGGAGTTTACAGGGAGCACTTGGCTGACCTTGACCAGAAAAAATCGACGTGGGAAGGGAGTGGGAAGCTTTTTCTGTTAGACAGGAATAACATCATTGGAAGGCTCAGCAGCTCCTGCCTGCCATGTGTGAGCTCCTCTGGGGCTCTTCAGCACATTCCTGGGATGGCAGAGCCTGTGCCAGGCTGTCCTGGCCAGGCAGCTCCTGGGGAGGGGAGTTGGAGGCAGAACAGGGGGACTCAGGTGAGACCCCCCTGCAGAGCTGCTCCAGCCCTGGGGAACAGCACAGGGAGGACATGGAGCTGCTGGAGAGAGTCCAGAGGAGGCACCAAGAGGATCAGAGGGATGGAGCAGCTCTGCTGGGAGGAAAGGATGGGAGAGTTGGGATTGTTCAGCCTGGAGAAGAGAAGCTTTGAGGTGACCTAAGTGTGGCCTTCCAGAGCCTGAAGGGACCAACAAGAAAGATGGAGAGAGACTGTTTCCAGGGGCCTGGAGTGGCAGGACAAGAGGGATGGCTTCAAACTGCCAGAGAGCAGGGTGAGATTGGATATTGGGAAGAAATTCTTGGCTGTGAGGGTGGGGAGGCCCTGGCACAGGTTGCCCAGAGAAGCTGTGGCTGCCCCATCCCTGGAAGTGTCCAAGGCCAGGTTGGACAGGGCTTGGAGGAACCTGGGCTAGTGGAAGGTGTCCCTGCCCATGGCAGGGGGTGGAACTGCATGGGCTTTAAGGTCCCTCCCAACCCAAACCATTCCATGGTTCTGTGACATCTGGGGACCTTGGGAAGTGGTTGGGGTGCTCACCCTCAGATTTTTCATATACAAGGTGGACTCTGCTGACAGGAGGAATGACCTGCAAAACCAGTACTAACTGCTGGCTACTGGGCTGAGAGTGACTGGCTGAGGGGAAAAGAGGCAAACTTTTCAGACTTAGTAGGTTCCAAAGTCTCTGTCCTATTAGTGTTGCCAGAGAGTCTGAAAATGGATGAGAACAAACAGCACGTGGTCTCAGTCTTTGAAATATAGGGCTGTAACATCTGTACATGGCCCCAGGATATTCCCAGCTGGATCCCTGATGCCCACTTGTCCCTGCCCATAGCTCTCCTGCTCCAGCACCAGGCTTTGGACCATCAGACTCTCCAGGCCCCCTGGCTCTGAGCAGTGATACATCACAGCTTGGGCAGAAAGTCATGGAGAAGTGGAGATTTACCAGGGATTGAGCTACATCCCTGGCCCCTGAGGCCACCTTCCTTTCCTCCCCCTGCACCTATCTTATCTCTGCCTCTCTGAAATAAAAGGAATAGAAAAATTAACAACATGAAAAAGGGAGGAGATGATAAAGAGTATCTGAAAAATTATCTCTGTCCTCATTTCAGAGCTTTGCATGGTAACAGGGAGGCAGGAGGCTTTTTTCTTTATTAATGTATTAAACTATTAAAAGGCTGGGTGTCTCTTGAACCTACTCTGTTGTCAGGGGATGAGAAAGCTCCAAAGAAGTCTGTTGAGAAGGCTGTTGCAGTTGAGGAACTGTCCAGGGATGCCGCTTGTGGACCAGAGCAAATCAAAGCTAAAGGACAAAGTTTTGCTGTCCTACTGATCCTGGGGATGTGGGTGCAGCCTGGGCAGGGGGACATTGGCACCTCTGCTTTTGTGCTGAGACAAAAACTCTACCAGCAGGAATCCTGTCAGGAGTGTGGCTGGAATGGGAAAGGTTCAGAGTCAAAAATCTCTTCTGAATTCCTTTAGCTCCTGAGTCCTGAAGGTCTGAGTGAGACTAGTCCCAGACCTCAAGCTGAGCCTGTGATGAGCCAATTCCCCCAAGGCTGGGGGGTTTGCTTTGGCACATCAGTAGTTCCCCTCTCAGATTCTGTTCTTGCCTTGGCAATTATCCAAATGTGCAGTTGTTCTCCATTAATCTTTGCCAGTAAAGCAATGCTGCTGTAGCTGTTGTGTTCTGTGAGACCCTCAGGTTGGGATTCATAGTATAACACATGGTGGGGTCTTGGTGCTCATCTATGAGGGTGACAGCAGGGCTGTATAGCACAAATACAGATATATATATCCACACAGGCACACTGAATAAAGGTGATTTTGTTTTCTTTTCCTTGGCAGGTCACTATGGAAAAGATATTTACCGAAGTGGAGGCCCAGATCTCCATAATTTCATCTCCTCCGGGTTTGTCACATTAGGAAGAGGACACACGAAGGGTACAGTGGAAACCATTTTTTGCTAAATCAAAAGATTGTTTTAAATAAAAAGCTCTAACTCAGCAGTGGGTTCTAAGTGCCCTGAGAGAACAGTGTTGGACTGCAGGCAGTGGGTTTAGTCCAGGAAATATTGCTGCAGGTAAAATACTGTGCTCGGGCAGAACCTTTGAAATCCTTGCAGGGGAGGTGGTGGGGGAGTGTAGAGTCAGACAAATTCCAGATTCCAGACTCCAGATTCCTGACTCTGCCTGTGCAGTTGGACTGTTTATACAGCTTTGTGTTTTCCTGGGTGCATGGTTGCAAACCCCCCTCGTTCCTGTCCTCCCAGAGGAAGGGAAGGGATGCTGGCCCAGGGCAGGCAGTGACCACTTCCAGAGTGTCTCTCTGGAGTTCTTTTGTTTGACTTCTGGGCTTTTTTTTTTTTTTTCTCTGGGGGGGTGAGGGGTGTATGATGAATATTTTATAAAATTCTTTCCTTTTTAGCTCCTGAAACATATATTTTATGTGTTCCTATAACCTGTGAAATAATGTACAAACAGGAAAACACAAAAGTATACATATACTGCTCTGTGTATGTTCTGTGTATATGTACTGTATATAAAATATATGTTGAGAGCCAGCTGGAGCTCTATAAGACAAGTAACCACCTATCCCAGGAGTCCTGGTGACACCAAAGCTGTGAGCTCTGACCCAGCTGGTCACCAGAACCCCCAATGAATGTTCATTTGATGACCTTGTTGCCTATTTTGGTGAGTTTTTGGAGTGTACAGTGAGACTGTGTTTGGAGCATCTTTCTGTCCCCCCTCCCCTGCCCCAGCCACCCTGGCAGTGCCACTGGGCTGTGCCACTGGGGGTGCATGTGCCAGTCCCTGTCTGGTTTTGTGTCCTCCTGACCTCGAGACTGTTGTACCTCCCTGTAGACACAATGTATGTGGAGATTCCTCTATAGACCAATGTACTGTATGTGGAGATGTGTCCTTGTGCTCACCTGGTTGAACGCTCCTGTGTTGTTCCTGTGGATGACATGACTCACAAATTATTAAAAGACCTTGGTTTTTACATTTCCTGCACTTTTTCCAGCTCTCCACAAGTGTCATCCGCAGTAGTGTTGGTCCTGTAGCACTGTCAGAGAAGAAACAAATCTATGTATATTGTCTGTGTATGTCTGTGTGTGCTTAAATAAAGTTTACTGAGGCTGAGGCAGCACCCGTGGGACTTGTAATCCAATACCCTGTAATTCCAGCCTGGCTCTGCTCCGGGGGAAGGGGAGCAGTGGAACCACCTCCAAACCCCAGCTGGGCTGGGAACTGCAATGGTTCAAGGAAGGACATTTACACAAGGTCTCCCTTTCTCCAGCCCACCCAAGAGGAGTTTTACAGTCATGTCATGTCACATCAGGAGGGTATTTAGGGTGAGACAGCAAGAGAACTCCAGGAGAGATGGTCCACAGGGTGGAGTGTTCTGATAACCTTTCCCAAGCACAAGGATAACCCCCAGCAGGGCCACGTTCCTGCCTCTTTGTCCCAGACATTGGGATTGTCTTCCAGCAGTTTTCTGGACAATGTGGTTTCCCTGATCCCTTCCCACATCAGAACAAAACCTGCTTTCCCTCTGGACTGAAAGCTCTCGGGGGCTCTGCTCTCCTGTGGATGGGCTTGTGGTTTTCACACCTGGAACCCCCATAAGCACATTTCCCATCCCTGGGAAGGTGGAAGAGTGGGCAGGGGGAGTCCAGACTGTCCATCCACCACAACAGCCCCCAGCCAGGGGGGTTAAGGGGGAAGGCTTTCCAAAGTTTGTTTTCTGAAGAAATCAAATTCTACCTTGGCTGTTTATGGACAAACCAGAAAGGAATGGCCTTAGAATTTACTTTTCAGCTACCTATAAAACCACATTTTATTTAAACAATATTATAATGTTAATTTCTAATTTTTTTAATGGCAGATTCACACTCCCACTCATGAGTGGTGCAAGTGCTGAACATTTCCACATGTACTGCAGGCAAACTGCCTGGTTTGCTTGTGCAAATGTGTAGGTTTGTCTTTGTCTGTGACATGATTTGTGTGTTTGTGCTGTGAAAGCAGGACTTTTGGGGGGAGCAAGTAACTGAGGGGCTCTATTGTTACAATTGTGCCTGATATAATTTGATTATTTCTGGAAATATTGAAAGATTTCCTGTCTTCAGTTTGAACTGACAGCCCAGTACCTGGACAGGAGAGATGAGTGCTACAGCAAGGGTTAGTCCTGAGCTTTAGCTGAGCAGCTTCATGCTGAGGTTTTGTCTTATTTCAGTTCCACTACGTGTGTTAAAATCTCCACTTCAGCTGCCATGAGCCAAATAACCCCACCCTGCCTTGTTGTTACACCAAAGGGTTCTACTTTTAGACTGAACAAAGCCAGTGAAGTTTATCTCAATATTTCTCTGCACTGGGAGACACATTTTTGGTGTTTTCTCAACTGTCTTCTGTGCTGTGGCAGAACTCCAAGTGCTGAGTAATATTTAAGAGCTAATCTATTTTGGGCAGAAGACAAAGATGTGAGACATGCCAAACTACCATGGAGACCAAATCAGCACATCCACATGTCTGACATCCACAGGCTCCTGCAAGATTGTGATTTATGGTTCCTCTCTGACATGTCAGTGGGCAATGCATCACTGCCTGGCATTTAAAGGCTGTAAAGTCATTACAGGGGGTGTTCTTCACACCCTGGGGACAGACTTTGCTGTCAGTGTGTCGTGGTGATCTAGGGATGAATCCAAACTCTTCAGGCCATTAAGGTGCCCATGGTGAGGCACATGGCAGGGTTAATCTCATATCACATCAGGTAGAGGTTGGATGTTTTATTCTGAGGTAGAACCTTCAGTTCCATGTGGAGACACCTGGGAGATAAAAGCACCTCTAAAGGAGCATTCACTGGATGGCACAAGGCATCTCTTCCCCCCTCTAGCAAGAGGGAGCTGTGGGGGTGTTTTAGCCCTCAGAGGATGGATCCCACCTGCCCTATTTGTGTAGGAGCAGCTCCTGCTGCTCCAAGTGCTGTGGGAATTGCTGTGAGTTCAGTGCTCCAGTGGCACAAACAGGAGCACAGCAGACAGGAATTATCACATCTCTCTGATTTAAAACCAGCTTCTTCAACCTGTTCCAAGCATCTTGATACTCTCAGGTGTCCCAGGCTGGGACTGGTCTGAGCTGGACAGTGCTCACAGAGGTGCCAGGGCTCCTCAGAGCTCTACCCAGTTCCCCAGGCTGGAGTAGGTTACACAGCTGCTACAACAGGGAGCAGGCACCCACAGGTACCCCCAACCACAGGGAGGGAACAAAGCTTGAGGAGCAGTAAATTCACTTCAGACAGATTATTTCACACCATGATTGCTGAGTTTTCTTCAGGTAAAAATGTGATTTTTATTTTGTTGCCTTTTTTTTTTTCCCCACTATCAGTTTCAGACCTTGAAAATAGTTTCCAAGTGGGATTGGGCTCCTTGTGTTCCACCAGTCCGGGACAGCAGCAGAAATTCTGTGGAGCAGATGATAATGTTGGTTCATCACTGAACAGCTTCTTTGTTTTCCTGGTAACTCTGCAACAGTGTTAAAAATAGTGAGGTTATTTGGTGGGAAAAGCATAATTTCCCATCTGAACCCAGTGCAAAGGGGTCAGGGAACAGTGAGGCAGGAGGGGTTTGGGGGGTCAGACCCTCCTGCTGCGGGATCATCTTGTAGGGAACTTTCCCTACAACCTGCTAATTCCTTGTAAGTTTGTGCCAGATCCTTGAGGAGGTTGGAACTTCAAAAGCAGGTGTTGAAAACAAGGAGAGTCAAGTGCCCTCAGTGTCCTCAGTTCCCTCAGTGTCCTCAGGGCCCTCAGTGTCCTCAGTGCTCTGAGTGTCCTCAGTCCCCTCAGCCTGCCCAATAACACTTCCAGAAATGTGACTTCTGACTTTTGGATCCAGGCTGTTCCTGGAGTCATTTTGAGATGTGCTCTGAGTCAGGGCATTGCAGGAGGCTCTTCTTTGAGTATCCCACTGAAATGTGCTCTGAGGATGTTCTCCTGCAGTGCCATAGGCAGGAAAAATTAAGAACTGAGCCAGGACTCCAAGGCTGGAGCCCGGGCCAGTGCTCAGCTCTGCAGTGTGGGCAGAGTGAGAACAGTGCTGGGCAGGGGAGCCCTGGTGACTGAGCCCCAGGAGCTCCCCACAGCACATTTTATCTGTGCAGATGTGGCAGATTTACAGCTGAATGTGAGATTTGCCCGCTGAGCCTCCGTTCTCTCCGTCCTGTGGATTGGTTGCACCTCCCCATGGGCACAGGGCTTGGGGCACTCTGGGGTGGCACAGCCCTGCTGGGGAGGTCCAGCTGTGCCTGGTGTGTGGAACATGGTGTATGTCCTTTAGCAGGGCCTTACACCCAACAGATATCACTCCTCAGATACTTTGGCACCTGATAAATATCCAACTCCCCAGGTTTGTGCATATTTAAAGGAGCAAATTGTTCCTGATCTGATCCCGCCTTGGAAAATGCTCACCCTCCTCTGCCAGCCCCCATGCAAGAGGACACACAGAGCCTGTAATTCCTGGTGCCAGAGCAGGGGGAGGTGGTGGGTTTGGAAGCTGCAGCGTTGGGAGAGGGCACGAGGCAGTGTCAGGAAGGGAGGGAGAACTGAGGGGTGGGGCAGCAGCTGAGTCTCCCTCCGTGTGTTCAGCGGGCTCTGAGAGGCTGAGGGGGCCCTCTGTTAGGGTGGGAGTGGGGCTTTAGACCAAGTTAATCAGAGAAACCCTCCCCTTGACTCACAAGGTACAGAAAGGACCCGCTGCTCAGAGAGGAGCCCGGGGGTGGCTGGATCCAATCTCAGCCTCAGGCTTTGTCAACAGTTTAAGTACAACTTTGTCCTGAAGGGTTAAAAGTGGCAAACTGGGTATATTTATATAAAATTAATTGTTATGACAAATGATGAGACAAAATATTCAGAATTATTTAGTACACAGTATAGAAGCTAAAACTACTAGTATAGTATAGGATAGGGTAGTGCACTACATCAAAGCAATTCTGTGAAATAATTATATTAGAGCTAGAAAAATAAGAAATAGTTATTAAACAGAGATCGATGTAACTCACCAGACCAATGCTGTGGGCAGAGCTCTTTCTCTTAACCTCGAGGACTGTCCTTGAAAGGGCCTCCCCTCTCAAGAGAGGAACCTCCACACACCACATACCCCAAAGAGTGTGTTAGAAGAACCTGATCCTAAGAAAGTGGACTGGACTTCTATAGTATAAAGTGATGGACTGCCAGTCATATGTCTCCAGGTCAGCTTAGCAGTTTATCTGCCAGATCTTTGCCTCACTACAAGGATGTTAATTTGGGGTTGATGTGCCAGACTGGTTTTAGCATCACCTGGCCCTCTCCACAGCTTGCAAAATAGGGCATTGTTTGAGTTGTTTGACCACAATCCAAGAGCAGAGTGTCCTGCTCCACCACCCCAGCACTGACCTGGCACCTTGGCCAACCTTCACCTCCTGGAGAGCCAGATCCCACAGGCTAGTACTGGGGAATGGGGTTCTGGTGTCACCAGGGTCCCTCAGGGCTGTTGCAAAGACAAGAGTAAAGCAGCAGCTTTATCAGTTTAATGTTTGTGTTTGTGTGTAAGAAAATCTACAGGGACAGACATGAGAGAGGGCAAAGACAGCTCTAGATCATACTTAGCAACCAAGGTCCTCCTGAGGTGCTCCAGTGTCTCCCGCTGTGGGTGACAGCTCCACCTTCTCAGCTCTTCCTTCCCTAGAAGCTGCAGAGTTTTCCCAGAACCACAGCTCAGCTCCCACTGGAGGGTGATGGGAGAGGAGCACAGAGTGCTCGTGGCTGGGGCTGTGTTTGCCCGAGTGATCTGGTGTTTGTGTGAGTCTCAGAAGAGCCTGTCAGTGAGACAGGGCTGTGGGACATCCTGTGTCAGCACAGGAGCAGGTCATTTCTGCTCTCCCCACCCATTGTGTTCTCTCATTGGCACACCCTCACCTGGATTTGCTGTGTCTGTGACAGGCTCTGTGTTTATAAATGATATGTCTGTATGCAAACTGGTCTTCGTGCAGACACCTTGATGGATCTCTAATATTCAGAGCTGCAGACTGTGCACGTGGACTGAACGTGGTGGAACAGGGTCAGGTACTGTGGCTGACACCATTTCCTCCCCTTGGACACCCACTATCCCCTGTTACACCCCACTGCTCCTTTTGGAGCCCCCAGAATAAGCCCCTTTTCCAAGCATCACCTCAGGAACCAGCAGTTTTGCTGGTCCATGTAAATATGATTCAGAGATGAATGGGAGGAAAGAGATTTATTAATTTAATCATCATTAGCAGTTTGAAAATTCCGATTCCTCCCTCCTGTCCTGGTTCCCTGCTGTCAGGGCTGGTTCCACTGCTTGGCTTGCAGCCTTGTGTTCCAGTTTCTTTCCCAAAGTGCTGGTTCATACCCTTAATTTGTTATTTTGGGGTCTTATATTACATCTGTCACAACCAGCTCAGCCCAACACGGCTCCAAAACACACAATGAATCAGCTCCAAGCTGGAATTTGCTGCCTGCCCCCATCATTAGTAATCCAAGCTTGCAGGAGACTCATTAATACAGGGAAAGAGAGAACTTTAAAGGGTCATTTTTTTCATACCTGCATCTGTAGCTTGTCGTGAATAGATATGCAAAAATTAAGGGCTAGGTTAGGTATGTTGAGTCCTTTTTCTCATTAAACACTTGTTAGACATCCTGTCAATGGAAAGGTGTTGAGCCCAGCCCTCTGCATCCCAATGAATCATTTGCTGTTCCTCCTGGCTGGTATCTAATGATTTTGATGGTGTCTTGCAGTGTGTGTGCTAAAGATCACTTGCATTCTTATTCCAGATTAATTTCAACCATTGCATATTCTGACACTTAATTGTATTGACTTGAAAATAGGCCCCCTGGGACGTGGGAAAGGCTCCAGAGCTCTGCAGAAAGATTCCATTACGCAATAGGGCATCTCAGCCACCCTGAATTATTTAATCGACTTCAGACACGACCGGCCATTTCTCAGCAGAGTCTGGACAGCTCTGGCTTTTATAGCCCTCTGAAGAGCCTGGTGGGAGGAGAGGGGGAGCCTGTGGAAACCATACCAATGGTGCAGCTGATGCTGTGGGTGAGGGGTGGGGAACACGAGCAGAACCACATCAAACCCCACCATAACCTCCTGCAAGTGAAACAACAAAGGGGAAAGGCCCCTTCTGTCTTCACACTGCTCATGGCCACGGAGAGAACATGGGATGTGGCTTTCCAAGCCTTCCCAGACTGTTAGCAATGAGCACAAGGAGGATTAGTGGCTCAGCTGAGAGCCTTCCTCAGGCTTGGGGAGGGAACAGCAGCAGGACAGCCCCGAGCAGGGCATGGGCACACGGGGCACTGCTGAGCCAGGAGAGCTCAGCTAACACACCCAGGGACATCCATCTTCCTGGGGAAGGAGCCCAGGGTTCCTCCAGAGCCAGCTGTGGGATGGAATATCACAGAATATCACAGTTCAGCACAGAATCTGATGAGTTGGAAGGGACCCACAGGGATCATCAGTCCAACTCCTGGCCCTGCACAGGCCCATCCCCAAGAGTCACCCC